AAAAAAAAAAAAAAAAAAAAAAAAAAAAAAAAAAAAAAAAAAAAAAAAAAAAAAAATATGTACATAGGAAAGTGCCTTAAGTAAGTAAGACTCAAGATGAATCGTGTTAAACCGATAAAACTATTTTTTCTACTTTATACTTTTTAACGACTATTTAAGAAACATTTTTACTATTTATATCGTACGATGTCGTCCATTAAGATGTTAGGAATCACGTAAGGCAATACGCTTGGAGAAGAAAAGAATAATTTTTGCGTGCCAACGAAGGAAAATATTATTCCCACGATATTATTTAATTAATTAATTAATTATTGTATAAGTCTCGGTCGGTATATGCATTAAGAAAGAAATGAAAAATTCAAACAAGAATTATTGTACAATTTTCTTATTCTCAATCTGAAGACAAGAAACAAGTTTTACTTACTAAATCAAAAATACACCCAACAATATGTTAAGCGTAATTCCATCCTCGCGATAAAAAAATGGAGATTTGTAAATTTTGCGTCAGTCTGAAGTACTTGATTATTTTTAATAATTTAATTGTATAACGAGAACATAAGTTAATTACGATGTAATAATTAATTCTCCCTATTTAATTGTAAAACGCACAAACACGTTCGTCCACGTTGTATAGAAGGGGGAGGAAGGGGAAGGGTAGGGGAAGGTCTCCAATCTTAAATTATTCCACGACAGAAATATGTTTTGTAAATACAAAGTGCCTTAATTTGTAATTTACAATTGTGAACTGTCTTGGAAAAAAACAGTTGAAAAAAATTTGGAATTCCAATTTTTATGGAATATGATTTTTAAGTATGAATTCACGATAATATAGATATAATTATAAATTGGCGAATCAATTTTTATCGAAGGCAAGATATTTTTTTTTTTTTCAACATGGAGCAGAAAATTTCTTTATCCTCAGAGACAATAGAGACAATAGACATTTTTCAACTCGGTCACTCGCTACATGTATACATATTATGTTAAATTATTACATTTACACACAATAAATTCCCATTCCCAAACGGCAACCAAACATTTTCTTTTTTTCAATTTCTATCCTCTGTAACAATTTTTCACGAAATATTTAAAATACATTTTATTATTTATACAACTCATTTATTCACCACTTCGCTTTGAAACGTTATTCTCGGAGAAACGGATCGATCGATAATTCAGAAACTAATTTTATTTACATCAATGCGTGGCGGCCCTGCGAGTAATCAGTTGGCTGGCCAGGAAGTGTGCGCAAAACCGGTAGCAATAATAAAAGGGGTGGTCGATTTCACGTCCACACAACATCGATAATTTCGTAATTTTCGTGAAATTGGTCCCGCTCAACCAACCGCTCGCTCGACGAGGGCGAGTTCTCCTTTCTCATTTTCTCCGTCCATCCGATCCTCTTCCCTCTCTCTCTCTCTCTCTCTTTTTTTTTCGTTATCCTCTAGGGTCGATTTCCGGACACGTTCCACGTAGGGGGTGAAGCGGTGTTGCTACGTCATTTCCGCAAGTGCTCTGGCTTTCCACACCAACGATCCACCGGTTATCGTTTTTTTTTTCTTTTTTTTTTTGTAACCGTCTTCGTGTATTATTACACGGTATTTCTTATTGAATTCTTATATGAATATTGGAAAATTATTTAACAACGGAATAAAAATATCGCGCGTATATTTCAGGATCCCATAATTTTTTTGAAATTCGAGATAAATATGGAAGATTATTTCGAGAAAAGGAAAAAGGAAAAAATTTTGAATTAGAGTACGAAAAATATTTGCAACGGAATAAAAATAGAATTTTAAAAATTTTTAATTTAAAATTAAAAATATTGCATGTATTTCAGGATCTCATCCACCTGTACAAATTTTCTTGAAATTCATCGAGATTATGCATATCGAGATAAGTATAAAAAATTATTTCGAGAAAAAAAAAAGAGTACGAAAAAAAAATTAGAGTACGAAAAATATTTGCAACGGAATAAAAATAGAATTTANAAATTTTTAATTTAAAATTAAAAATATTGCATGTATTTCAGGATCTCATCCACCTGTACAAATATTCTTAAAATTCATCGAGATTATGCATATCGAGATAAGTATAAAAAATTATTTCGAGAAAAAAAAAAAGGAAAAGATTTTGAATTAGAGTACGAAAAATATTTGCAACGGAATAAAAGTAGAATTTTAAAAATTTTTAATTTAAAATTAAAAATATTGCATGTATTTCAGGATCTCATCCATCTGTACAAATTTTCTTGAAATTCATCGAGATTATGCATATCGAGATAAGTATAAAAAATTATTTCGAGAAAAAAAAAAGGAAAAGAAGATTTTTAAATCGGCATACGTTTTTTTTACTCAAAATCACATTAACGAATGAAATTAATTGCTGAAATTGTCAGAGGAGTGTTGGATTAATTTATTATTATTAATCGATCAATGTATTTCATGTATTTTCTATGAATTTCATCGTCATGATTAAAAAAATTTTTTTTTTTTTTTTTTTGAATTTTTATAATCGTACGCGGTTGATAAATAATCCCTTCGTTTAACAATTTTGGTACATTCCTGGACAGGGCCAATTTTAATCATATAAAGTGTAATTTAATTGTAATATGTATTAATTTAATTATATAAAGTGTAATTAATCGCGTCGATCCACTTGCACGATTCTTCAATATTGAAACAACATGTTGAAATAATATAAAAACTCGATATGAGAGTTAATGGATTTTAAAATTTCCTCGACGACGAGAAAAAATTCCACATTTATAGAAACTATTTTTAGAAGTCAATTTTAATCATATAAAGTGTTGTAATTAATTGATCCGTTTGCACGATTTTGCACGAACGAAGTTAACGATAACAACAAGTTAAAATAATACTAAAAATTCTATTAATAAAAATAAAATAATGGTAATAAAAAATATTCGGTAAAGAGTGGATTTTAAAAAATTTCCTCGATTTATTTTATTCACTCCGCAACTGCTGTTACGTATATACGTTGTTTCGAAACACCACTGTACAATATATTTCACAACAGGAGATATAAGACAATTTTACAAAAATGTTCACTTCAACGTTGCTAAATAAGCGATCACGTCCTTACGCTCGTCAGCTTTTTTAATACCGCTGAACACCATCCTCGTGCCGGGAACAAAATCTTTCGGTAAACGTAAATATTCGTCCAGCGTTGTCTCGTTCCACACGATGTTTTTGTTCTTCATCGCGTCGGTGTAATTGAATCCGGCCGAGGCTGGAATCAACAATCCGTAACAATACTCGTATACCATATATATCTATTTCTCGCTCGAAAAAGTACAGAAAAGTAAATAAAAGGAAAAAAAAAGAAAGAAAGAAAAGGATATATATATATATATATATATATGTATATATATATATATATATTTAAATATATATATTATATACGTACTTCCACACGTTTTGCCAAATATTCCAAAAAGATTCGGACCTACCCTGTGTTTCTCATTTTTACCAACGGTATGACACATCGAGCACATTCTCACGAACAACGTTTTCCCCTTAACCGGATCTCCCATTTTTTTGTCGTTTCCCCCCGAAACGAAAAAAAGAAAAAAAAAAAAAAAGGTTATATCAATGATATAACGACGTTAATTAATTCGAGGTTAATTAATCGTATCATTTCATCGAACGTGACGTCGCGATCGATCGAGATACGACATGAAGTTTTACCCGGAATAAAATATATTTATTTATTTGCTACAACTCGCCGATAAATAATTTAACGGCAATTTCCAAACCAATCGAGATTGATAATTTACGACTTGAACTGCTTCCTTTTCTTTTTTTTTTTTTTTTTTTTTTTTCGTCAGATCGCATGTAGAAAGGGCAAACAATGCACGAAAGATGTTCTCGAAGGTTTAAGGTTTGAAGGAAATATCACCTCGTGAATATCCTCATCGAAGAAAAATATCGACATTATCCTATAAATGAAAATAAAATCGGACCAGATCACGGATAAAGATCGAACTATGAAACAAAAGAGAGGAAGGATTTTGCCAATTTTATTTTATATCGTTCGGTGTATGCACATTTCGCGATAAATCGTACAAATTTATTATTTAAATTGTGTGGAACTGAAGTTGTTTGAATAAAATTATTCATTTACGCACATTCGATGTAGAATAATAATTTTCAACGATTAATCTTTATCCTATTTTACAAAGTATATATATTTTTATAAATAATAAAATAATTTCTCGTCTTTTGTACAAAATATATATAGCAAATGCGTGCATGTATATACATACATATATATATATATATATACAGAGCACAACAATGTCTTTCTCTCTCCTTCTTTCAATCCGTAGAAAAGGGAGCGGAAGTTTGGGCGGCAATTTTATTATCCGCCCGTTCCTTCCTCCTCTTTAGTAAATCAACCGAGAAGAATTGTACTGCCCACGGGATAACGAACAGGACGTTCATTAGAATAAGGGCGAGCTGGCAAACGACGAAACTGTTGGTCCAATCCTTCATGAATCCTGAAAGGAAAGAAATACCATTTTTTAAGATTCTTCCCCCCCCCCCTCCCGCCTCTTCCGACGAATAATAATAAATCTTTGTTTTATTATTATTATTATTATTATTAATATTCGCGTGCATTATTGTTGTTATTTAAACGGAAATCACCATTGGATTTTTATACTCACCAACGATCGGGCCACACACTATAGAAACCATTCCGTTAATAGCCCCGGCAATACCGTACGCCGAGGCGAATTTATTTATACAAACATCCTCTATGATAACTAACGGTTGAGGGACCAACAACCATGATCTGACCATTCCTATAATCGTTATCATCACAAACATGCCGACCAACGTTTCATTGTATATTAAGTAACCTGAAAAATAAATTCATATATGTATATATATATATATATATATATTTTTTATGGTTTAATAAAAAATTTAATTTAGAATAGGAATTTTAATAAACGAAAATTAATGATTTGTTTCTTCTCTCGCAACGATAAAATCTTTCGATGGATGTAAA